TGTGTAAGTGCAGAGATTGATTGTACTTTTTTCCCCCTCTTAAATTTGAACATGGAGGATACTAGTGATGACTAGGAACCAAATTCTTTGAATTCAGCTAGTGCCAAGACTTACGGACCAAAGAGCAGGGTCAGACATGTGTTCTTGCTTTAGGCCAGTCTCCGGGTGAGGGTGTGAAGACAGTCCTGAGGCTCCCTTGCCCCAGGCCTGGCAAGAACCAAGGCCAGGCTTCTTGTTCCTATTAAGAAACAAGCTTTCTAGGTAATGGCCCAGCTCTCGGGTCCAGCTGAGTTGCTTCATTCGAACCTTATCATCGCTGCCTGCCTTGCGTGCTAGAAGCTGTTTTTTCCCCCAGAGCCACCCAGCTGCAAGCTGTTCTGTCTCTTCATCTGGGCAGAACCTAGAAAGGGCTGCTGGCAAGAGCCAGGCAACAGATGGGGCAGCCTGGGAGGAGAGGATTTAGGAAAGCCACTCCGGGAGGATGGGGAGGGCAGGGGGCAGGCAGAAGGATGGACAAGTTCTCCAAAGAGAAAACATGTTTCTTCCACCTTTCTCTCTCTGAGGGTTTGCACGTCAGGTTTGTGCAAGGGAATTATCTGGAAGCAGGACCCCGTGGACATGGATGCTACTAGCTCAGTCTCCTGTGGTCGAATTGGCTTGGATTTCAAGTCTCCTTGTCTCAGCCTGAGTGGATGGGAGATGGGTGGTCCTTTTATTGCACGGTTGCAAGAAGGTCCTGGTCCTGCCTTTCTCCTCATCCTTAATCTTGAGGGCCTGGGTGTAGTTGCTGGCTCTGCCCCTGACTAGTTATTGGTGGCCACCAACCTCACCTACTGGAGCCCCTTGGGGGATGGATCTCAATTTTGTGAGAATGAGTCCTTGTGGCTGTCTGTGGTCACATAAAAGCATCTTCCGGCCAGCATGTTGCTTCAGTGATTATAGAATTTTTGGAAATGGAGGGGACCTTTTGGGATCATCCTCTTCAGTGCTTCCCAGGGGAGTAGTGTCCATAATAACACATTGGGATTGTTTGAACTGCATACTGGGAAACAAAATGAGGTAGGTGAGGTGTTTTGCCCAGAACTTGGCCTTAAAGTAATCATTCAATAAGTGTTCTTTATGACACCACTCTGCCGCCCATATCTAATGTTGACTCGTGGCACTTTCTGTCAGTTAAAATGTACAAAGCTTTAAAACATGTCGTACTCTTAAAGAAGATCAGCCATCGGAAACAAGACCTGCATCCCTTCCGTTCCTTTCGTCCGCCTTCACGTGCATCCATCACGGTTTAACACTTGGATTCCGGAGCCCACCTGCTTGGGTCTGAATCCTGGCTCTGCCATTTATTATACTTACCAGCTGGGTGACCTTGGGCAGGTGAAATCCCTTCTGTGACCGTCTGCCTCATAGGATTGCTAGGTCCAGGCAGGTACCGGAATATTTATTAAAAGAAAACAGATGTTCATATTTTACTGTTACGCTTAGGAACCCTTTCTGAGTGAGGGCTTCAGGCAGATGGCACAGGCCCCAGGACAGGAGTGCAGGGTCCATACAGTGATGGCGGGCCTGTGGTGCAGTGAGGGGCTGCAGAGATGAGAACCCCGCGTTACATTGGGGATTTTGTGTGATTGAGCTCCAACGCCCACTCCAGGCGGCCTGGATGTGTGTGGTGGAGGCCGTTCAAGGAGAGGGAGGCGTGGTGTGGCGGCAGTAAAGACTGTTAAAGTGGCCTGTAATCCCAGTGTCCTGACTAAGCCGGCCTTATTTTTGTGTGGTGTTTTATCTGGATTTTCACATAGCCTGTACTATTTTGTAATCCACTTGCAGCTACAACAAATATGTTTTTCAGCCTCTACTTTGTCTTTCTAAATATTTTCATTACAAAACAAGGGAGGGAGTTGTTTTTTGCTAAACAAATAAAATCAACTGATGGTGTTTTAGAGATTTCAAAACCGCTGGGTCCTTGTTGGGAGACTTTATGCCGAAGCACGAGGTGAAGAGCGGAGGCAGCCCTTGGTGTGTACACGGGGCTTCCTCCTATTCCTGCTCCTCCCGGTGAGAAGTCCGTGCTCTGCAGTGAGGGCTGTATAATGTCCTTCCCGGTGTTGGGAGAGGTTTTCTTACTCAGATTCTTCTTGAGCAATGCAACTTCCTGCTCAAAAAAGGACACGGAGTTGGTTTTACGTTTGCAACGGGAATAGTCAGTCAGCTGTTCACGGAGCCCTTTCCCACAGATATTTTTGCGGGAGGTCACTGCTCTGTCCTCCTCTCCATGAACTTCGGTTTGTGCAGAGCTCCCAGGCGAGGGCCTGTGCCCCAGTCACAAACGGAGGATGACATTCCAGCTTGATGGATGAGCACAACCGAGAATCTCGGTTTTTCCCACCCTTCCTTCTCAAGTTGGTTGGGGAAAGTTCCAATTAGCACATAGTGGTGAGCGTTAGCCCCGGCGGCTCCTTGGAAACTTGGACAAGGAAGGCTGGCCCTGGAATTCTCAGAAGGGAAGCTGGGAGCTTCTAGAGTCTGGACGGTCCCCTTCCCCTTTTTTTTGGAGAGCCTCAGTAACATCAGATGGCCCATGACCCTGTGCCTTGGGTCCTGAGCCAGCCTTTGGGACTTCACTGTTGACCGGGACCAGAGCTTTCACTGTTGACGGGACGTGCCTTGTAGGAAAAGGAGACCAGACCCAAAGCTCCCGGCCAGAATGGAGCCAGGAGGCTGCCGCATCTGCTTTGTTCCTTAGCTCTCAGGTAACACGAGGCAGCCCGATGAGCTCTCCCTTTGGCCTCCGTTTTCCTCACTGGTGAAGGGCTATTCTCTCACCTTCCCTCAGGGGCCGCCAGTGAGGGACGGGCAGGGAAATGCTCTGCAGCCTGGAATCCTCAAGGAAGCAGAAGGCGAGGGTGGTGCTCCTTTGAGAGCTGAGGCCTGCCTCACTTAGTTGAGAGGATGGGATGCCTGGGCTGGATCTGGGTTGAGGAAATAAAAGCCTCCGTTGCAGTGGGTGAAGTTGTAGACCTTGGCCACGGCGAGCGAGCCCAGTGTGTTCCTCAGAGTATTCCCCAAAGAAAGGTCTGTGCTTTCCGTGATAGAAACTCCAAACCGTCTCCTCAGGTGGTTCTGGCTGGGGCCAGATACCCACGCCCTGCCCCATAATCTGGAGACACAGCTGGCTCATTCATCTCGAATCGTCTCACATGTTTTTCACTCTGAGTCTTTTCCTAAGAAAATTAACTTAGTCAAGTACTGTGCTTCCCTTTTCTCCCCTTAAACTATCTTTCTTAAAACTTTCTCTAGAATTTCAGAGACAGTCTTCTGAAACTGAAGCAATGAGGTATGTTAGATGGTAATCACCGAATGGTACTCTGCTGAAACTCATATCCTTTTTCTGAATTGGAAACTTCTGCGAAGTCGTTAGCTATTCATAGTGTATGCTGTTTGTTCCTGAGCATCCTTCCAAATCTTCTTCCTCATTGTGGTCTGTCTTTGTTGGATCTCTCTCTCTTGCATTAATGTTTCTCTCTCCCCCACCCTCCCTTAAACTCTCTTTAAAAATGAGTGGGAAAAAATATCGTTGGGTGAAGATTAACCAAAAAAAATTGCCTATAGACAAATCTGTTAGTGACCTTTGATATTTCACTAAAATATCATTTTCATTTCTCTTTTTCTCTTTGCTATAAACAGCAGAGACCTTAAGTCTTTCTTTTTTTCTTTCTTTTGTCAATCTTCACCCGAGGATATTTTATCCATTCATTTTTAGAGAGGGTAGAAGAGAGGATGATAGGATTGGGGGTGTGTGTGTGGGGGAGAGGGGAGGACGAGAAAGAGAGAGAGAGGGATGTAAGAGAGACATATCAATTGGCTGCCTCCTGCATGCACCCTGACTGGGGCTGGGATTGAATCTAGAACCTTTGGTGTTCGAATCGGAGCTCCAAACACTGAGCAACACTGGCCAGGGCTCATTTCTGTACTCCAGAGCATTCCTTCCTGCCCCTCTCCAGACAAAACCTCTACCCCTGTCACTTTCAGACATGTAGGACCTGGGTTAATTTTGTCTTCTTGAACCTCACATAAATGTAATTTGAGGTCTGTCTTTCATTTCTACGGTACTCTTGTTACTAGTAGCAATGTTTTCCTTTTTATTGCTGAGGGTGATTCCATTGTATGAACATGCTGAGATTTGAAAATTTTTCTGTTCACGGTATATGGGTTGTTTTCGGTTTTTAGAAATTAGGATAAAGCTGGTATGACTCTTGGCATTTGATTTCTCTGAGCACTCAGTGTGGCGAGTGGCTCCTTCACCTCCTGGCCCTTCAACTCCAGGCAAGCGTCCCATCTCTCTGCCTTTGTTTTCTGATCCATGAAGTGGTGGGTTGGGAAACAATTCAGGGTTGGGACCATCATTAAAAAAAAAAAGAATAAAATAAAATCTTGGAGTGAATTCCATGAAACTGTACACACAATACCTATAAATACATACAATTATAACGTGTGTGTGCACATACATGTATGTGTATGGGATCACAATATAAAATGTATTTGATGTTATGGATTGTGGGCAAATCAATTTGTAGCACATTGATTTGTGTGTGTCCTTGTAAGCAAGGAAGTCCAACACCCGTGAGGTTAGGAAATGCCTATTTCTGCCCTCCGGTGTCTCAAACAGCCGTAGTGTTAACAGCCACTTACACACTGTTTGCTATGGGCCAGCCACTATATAAAACCATGGAGCGCTCACACCCGTCCTATGAGGTAGAGTATTATCTCCGTTTTATAGGTGGAGAAGCTGAGACACAGTTATACCACGGGCCCGAGGTCACACAGCTAGCACAGCAGGGCCACGAATTGAACCTAGGCCATCCCCCACCTGGAGTCTGTGCTCCAGCCCACCCTTCCAGGGGGAGGTCAAGCCCAAGAGGCAAGTGACGTGGTGAGCAAACGCAGATGAATCATGACTCGATTAATCCAATGCCTCCTCCCTTTTGTTCCAGATATGAGAAATGAGTGTTGGACGTCGAAGAATAAAGTTGTTGGGTATCCTGATGATGGCAAATGTCTTCATTTATTTGATTGTGGAAGTCTCCAGAAGCAGTAACCAAGAAAAAAATGGAAAGGGGGAAGTAATCATACCCAAAGAAAAGTTCTGGAAGATATCCAACCCTCCCACCGCGTACTGGAACCGAGAACAAGAAAAGCTGAACCGGAGGTACAATCCCATCCTGAGCATGCTGGCCAACCAGACCGGGGACGCGTCCGGGCTCTCCAACATAAGCCATCTGAACTTCTGCGAACCCGACCTGAGGGTCACCTCGGTCATCTCGGGCTTCAACGATCTGCCGGACCGGTTTAAAGACTTCCTGCTGTATCTGAGATGTCGCAACTACTCGCTGCTCATCGATCAGCCGGATAAGTGTGCGAAGAAACCCTTCCTGCTGCTGGCGATCAAGTCCCTCACCCCCCATTTCGCCAGGAGGCAAGCGATCCGGGAATCGTGGGGCCGAGAGACCAGCGCGGGGAACCGGACGGTGGTGCGGGTCTTCTTGCTGGGCCAGACGCCCCCGGAGGACAACCACCCCGACCTGTCCGACATGCTGAAGTTTGAGAGCGAGAAGCACCAGGACATTCTCATGTGGAACTACAGAGACACGTTCTTCAACCTGTCCCTGAAGGAGGTGCTCTTCCTGCGCTGGGTGAGCACGTCCTGCCCCGGCGCTGAGTTCGTGTTCAAGGGCGACGACGACGTCTTTGTGAACACCCACCATATCCTGAATTACTTGAATAGCTTGTCCAAGAGCAAAGCCAAAGACCTGTTCATAGGGGACGTGATCCACAACGCGGGGCCCCACCGGGACAAGAAGCTGAAGTACTACATCCCGGAGGTGGTCTACGCCGGCGTGTACCCGCCTTACGCCGGGGGAGGCGGGTTCCTGTACTCCGGCCGCCTGGCGCGGAGGCTGTACAATGTCACCGACCAGGTCCTCCTGTACCCCATCGACGACGTCTACACTGGGATGTGCCTTCAGAAGCTGGGCCTCGTTCCAGAGAAGCACAAAGGCTTCAAGACATTCGACATCGAAGAGAAAAAGAGGAATAACATTTGCTCCTATCTCGATCTGATGTTAGTCCATAGCAGAAAACCTCAAGAGATGATTGATATTTGGTCTCGGTTGCAAAACGCTCATTTAAATTGCTGACGTGTAGACAGACTTAGGTTTTGCATAGAAAGACATCTCTTGGGTAGTTCCCAGGGGGGAAAGGGGGCGGTTCTCTCATGAGGGGTAATTTCTGTGTTTAAACCATTCAAAATTGCCTTCATAAGGAGCACCCGTTTGAGGACCGCTAAACCCTTTGATGTACTTTCTGAAGAAGAAAAGCAGAAGATCGTAGTTTTTAAAGGAAGCTGCAGCAGGATGATTGGTTCTGATTCTTCCTACTGGCTAGTGGTCATTATTTTCTGAATTACCCCCCTTGTACCCCTCTTCTTGTCTGAAATCATGTTTTTGGAATTTGACTATATTTTAAGTTATTTTTGTTTTTGTTTTGACCTAATATTGTAATAGTCCAACTTCTTGTTAGAATGAGTGAAATGTCTACAATTTAGGTGTTTAAAACCTATTGACTACCAATAATTTGTTATGTATGATTCAATGATTTTTTTTTGTGATGATATTTGAATTACATTTATTTTCATGGATTTTGAATGAATTAAAAAAAAATTATTTGAGTAATTGACCTCTGTCGAAATTTCCTGCCACCCCAGCAGCATTTTCTTGCGTTAGGATAATCAGTTAATTTTTGCAAAACAAAGATCGTTTGTGTGATCCAGTTTATCTTGCTGTGGTTTATGGTCATAAGGAGATTATGACCTAGGAACATAATAACGGTTCTTGCATTTGATTTGCTGGGTGGCATGATAGTTCACTATTTTTAGCATTTGAAAATAATGAGAACGATTCCATAATGACCAAGTGAAGATTGGATTGACCTTTGCAGAAATGTTACGTTTATGATTTTTTTGATGTGGACCAGGAAAGCATATGTGACTTTGGGAAAGGATTGAAGTTGCAAACCTTTTCACGACTGGTTTGTCAGTTTAAAACTCCAGGATTCTATTCTTGCCATATTTTCACATGTTGCTTAGGCAGAATTATTCCTTAGTGGGTGACTGCTTCCCTGTCTCAGTGTAGAAGTGCCTGTGTTTTTATTTATTGTTCAGATCAATGACCAAAAATTTTCTTAAAATATATTTTGTGTAATATTTTATTTGTATACAGTGTTGTTGATGAAATATTTAACTAGAGCATGATATTTTAAATGTAAGTTGTAAAATATGTAAAATAAAGCTGTTATTTTTGAATTTTAAAGTTCATTTTTTTTTGAGAGAGCTGAATGCTAGAGTTGACAAAATTCTGCCAAACTATTGCTTATATATACCATCTTGTAACAATGCTTTCTTAAAAAAAGTTTTTTTGTGTGTTTATAGAGATGAGGCTTCTTATCAGATGTGATACTTGGAAATGTAAGAAGATAGAAATAAAGTCTTTGTATTTTTAATTGTCATGTGTAATAATCTGATCTTTTTTGTTTTTCCATATTTGGTTTCATTTCCCCTAAAGAGGCCATTGTTCTCTTCAGAAACTGTATTATAGTGATATTGAACAATCAATGCATGATCTATCTTCACATTTAAAATTCTTAAAAGTGCTTTCTCACTTGATTCTGTAAAGAGGAATACGAATATTTATTTATGCTTCCATTTTCAGTAAGTATAATTAGGAGATGGAGCAGCATTAAAAAAAAACCACTGTATTGCCCTAAACCGTGTTCACTTTGGGGTTTGTATCCACCGTGATACAATCTAGAGGCAGCCTTTACCACTTAGGTTTCGTAATAGACTCATGTTGAGAAGAAATTGCTAATGGTCAATTAAGAACAATAGAGCCTTAGCCGCTTTGGCTCAGTGGATAGAGCATCAGTCTGCTGACTCAAGGGTACCGGGTTCGATTCTGTACCTGGCTGCAGGCCCCTCCCTGGCCTGGGCCCTGGTTGGGGCATGTGCAGAGGCAACCAATTGGTGTCTCTCTCACATCAGTATTTCCCTCTGTCTTCCATTCTCTCTAAAAATCAATGGAAAAATATCCCGGGTGAGGATTAAAAAAAAAAAAAGTAGTAGTAGACATTTGATGAAGCTCACAAAACAGAAGGGATCAGTGTTGTGAGGACATTTAGCAGATTGTCTTCTACTGGGAATGTTGAGGCCATATGTGAGCAGTTACAGGGCACAGGTACTTAATGTGGGTTTGAAGACTGTTTGTAAGCTTGGCCCTTCTAAGGGTTTCACAGGACTGCACCTGACCTTTCTATGCAGTGGCTGCTAGCACACCTAGAGAGCACATTAGTTTAGGGAAGAGTCATCAAGCTCTCAAAACATTCACTGATCCTGGGTCCACAATTTGCACGTGTCTAAATAACTTGACCATGTATTTTCAAGTAATGCATTTTTCCTCGGGGCGGGGGGGAGGATTTCTGTAATTTTTCTTGGGAATTTTCCTTCACGGATGTTTCAAGTCCGCAGGAAAAGAAGAGAAGTAGCCGCTTTAGAAATATGTTTAGATTCTCCTGAGGATCTTCCGGGAGCCTCCAGTTGACATGTGCCGTTGTTTGAACATAAGTCCTTGGTGTTGGTGATGTGTGATGGGTGAGTTGGTCTCTGGCTCTTCTTTATTTGGCAGAAGTTCTCGTGTAGTGGTTACCTGAGCCCACAACGCTGGTCATCAGTCTCATGGGCTTTTCAGCAAAGGGATGCTTAGGTTTTAGAGCTCTGCACATGCTTGGCCTCAATCAAGGTAGTGATTGATTCTTAAATCAACGGAGCCTTCTCTTGGTGCTCCTGAGACGGATTCTCCCCTGAGCCCCCATCGCATGAATGTAAACATCGTAGATAATTCATTCTCTCAGAACTGCTCACTACTGTGGCCTCAACAGTGAAACTGGCATTTGGATTTTTTGTGTGTGGCTACCCCCACATCATTTTGACTTTGAATTTGAAAGTCAAAAGGCTGAGTAAACATTGACAGGGTTTGGACTTTTCATAAACCCAACCGGGCCTTAAGAGAAAAAGATGAGAGAGACCTAAATGGCTTATTTCCATTCCTGACTCTGCTTATACCCATCTCTGTTTGAATACTTTGAGTCAGTCTTGAAAATTAAATCCAGAATTAAAGGCACTCAACGTGTGACCATCTCCTACTTCAATACCTTACTCAACGTGTGACCGTCTCCTACTTCAATACCTTGGTTGATAAAGGTCTGGAGTCTTTGATGTTCTAGGTGGTCTTGGCCCCCTCAGGCAGACCACCAAAAACAAGCAAAGGATGACTTACTTTTATTTCCAAGAAAGCCAAAAAGAATGAAGCTTAGGTCAAAAGTTAACTTCTCTGTGATTTACCTTCTTATGAAAAATGTCAAGTGAAATAAAAATTCTTATTTAGAATGAGAAAACAAGTACTTCATGTGCTGGGCTGTTAAGATTATTGAATAAGTTAAGTTTTTCCTTAATGTTTTCTGTACTGATTTTATTCTCTAAATGCTAGAGAATATCTGCTAGATGATTTTGATGAACTTTATTAGGATTAACAATAAATCTGAAAAGTTAAACAATTACCTGATTCATTCAGGTCTCAAATTAGGAATATTGGCTGTGGTTTTTTTCTGGCCATGATATCATATCTTGAAAGATAAGAGGCCATGAATGAGGCACTTTTGTCTCTAGGGAGTCCCCAAAATTTTGTCATATTGCATGTGAATTATCATATTTATTAATTTTAAGACGTGATACTTTTTATATACCACTAAAAAACTGCCAATTGTATGGTGTGCCTCAATTGCCGAGATATTAAAATGTGAAAGGTTATATCTTAGAATAACAGATACAGCATTAGTGTGCATATAGACACAAAAATAGACCAATAAGTCAAGGGGATGCGCTTTCATTCTCGAGCAGCAGCCCACATGGCTTACATCCTAAGTGTTAGCAAGGGCTCACTCATGGCCCTGGAAACCTACCATCCTCTGACGAGTACTTTCCGAGCTTGTCTTCAACTAACATTCTTTTCCTGTTCCTCACCGTCCTCCACGCTGCCCACTGCGCAGAGCTCAGTAGCCAGGGAGGTGGCCTCAGGGCAGTGAGGCTCATTTACAGACACCCAACCCTGCCCGGGCAGCACCCCTGCAGCTGCCAAAATATCCCTGGGAGGGGGTGGGAGGGCAGTGGCCAGGCACTCCCAGCTTCCGCCTGGCCCCACCCAAGATCTCCCTCTCCATTAGAGAAAAGACCCGCTCACACCTTTGAATCAATGGCCCTCTGGGGTCTTCATCCCCTTGTTTAAGGGTTCCAGGCACTGGGCTTAGAATGGCTTTTCCCTCTTGTCTTCCTTCCTTGCAAAATGTGCAGTCATGAGGTGTTAGCTAATCACTGGATAACTTGTTTTCCAGTGTGCGGGGTGGAGAGAAGGAAATGAAAACAGAACTTTGTTGGATCAGGACACAGGCAGCTGTGGGGCCGGCTTGCAGTGGCCTAGCGGGAAACCTCACCACGCAGACACCCGGGAACCGGACGACAGGTGCCAAGGCCCTGCACGCTAACAGGGCACGTGTCCTGCCTGTGCTGCGCGTTGGAACATTTGAAGAGCAACATACGCCCTCCCGGCGGTGGGCGCTGCCGTCCACCACGAGGCCAGAGCTGCAGATTCCGTCCCTCCCGTCTGCCGCCGTCCTCCTGGCTGGTCAGATGGGAGACACTCAGACGCACACAGAGAGAAAAACAACATAATCAAATGAGGGCAAAATAGCAATTATTTTTTCCCTCTTGTGGGATGTGAGAAACCAGTGGTGGGACATCGAGGGATACAGTTGAAGGGCTTCGACTTGGTGGGAAATGCCTTTATTTGGTTGCAAAAGCCTCTGAACGTGAGTCACCACGGAAGGAATGTGGAAGGAGGAGCCGTGACACATTGTCATGAAAATGAGAGAACCCTCTGTCATCAGGTCCTCCCGGATGGAAGAACAAGACAAACAGAAGATGCAGAATAATGCCAGGGAACCCGGAGGCTGGGGAGGAACATACACCGTAGGAGGGAGCCTGTCCTGTCAGTCACACCTCCAGACATGGCAGCGCTGCTTATTGCAGTGAGTG